TTGAAGAGATGCTTCAGCTGCTAGCTTCTCCGTGTACGGTGACCTCGCCGGCATGAGCATCGATGCCACCAACGTCAGGACCTCGAAGAACTCCAGCACATTCAAGTTCCCATGTGACTTACCGTCGATACTTCGGATCCAAGTAGGGTCTCGGACATGGCGGGAGGCAGGGGGCGTAGACCCTGGCCCGATCCGCCGTCGTAGTACAAATCAAAGGTCCTCTGGGCGGCGCTGCCGGCTGGCGGGCGGAGGGCGATTACAGGATTGAAGGAGGAATCGTTCCGACAACGGTGGCGGTGGCGGCGGCGGCCGCTGACCGCCGCAAACGGGCGCGGGGAGAAATCCGAAGGGTCCACGGCTTGTACGAATCCGCCGTGGCAGTGGGGGCAGACGACAGGGCCATCGGAGGCGAGAGAAATGGTCACGGTGCACTGGTAGCACCAATACAGCGCCGTAGAAGCCATCGGAGTTGTTGCTAAGGAAAATATGATGAAGATAGAAATGATTGACTGACAGAGTATATGTATATGTGTGCGTATATATTTCGATTGCTCAAAAGCTCCTGATTTGGTGGCGCATGTGAGAGGACCAATCTCGATCAGAATTCTACAAATTGAAACCCTTCTAAATCAGATTAGATAGTATGTTAGGGATGAGATCTGGCAGATTTGTAAAGATTGAATCTTGAGCTACTGTTTCTAATCTAAATTTTGTGTTTCTCAATTTTTTTTTAAGGAAATATAAAATTCTTAAAATACCCTTAGAAATCAGCTTTTTTTTAGACAAAACCACTTTAAAGCCGGTGTAGGGGGCAAGACGAAATAAATGTGGAGTTTGTATGGTTGTTTGTAAAAGAAAATAGTTAATATGGTAATCCACGAAAATCGCGATAGTTTGGATGGGAAAAAGTTATTTACCCTTGTAAGAAACTGGGAGAAAAACGGGTGCGGGCCCACAAACATGAAGCGCACCAAAGTGGGGAAAACCCAAATGAAGCCCTATGGGGTTCCATCCCAAAACCAATTGGTGAAAGGAGGAGTAGCCCATTAAACTTATTAAGTGGGTCTATTTTCCATGTATTAACAATGTGGGACAACTCACAAGTGATATTCTAACACGCCCCCTCACTTGTGAGTCTGATATCATGTCTCTAACCCAGGCACAAAGTGGGCTCTGATATCATGTCTCTAACCCAGACACAAAGTCGGTCGGGCTCTGATATCATGTCTATAACCCAGACACAAAGTGGGCTCTGATACCATGTCTCTAACCCAGACACAAAGTGGGCTCTGATATCATGTCTCTAACCCAGACAAAGTCGGTCGGACTCTGATATCATGTCTCTAACCCAGAAAGTGGGCTCTGATACCATGTAAGAAACTGGGGGGAAATGGAAAGCCCATATGAAGCCCAAGTGGGGTTCCATCCCAAAACCAATTGGTGGAAGGAGGAGTAGCCCATTAAACTTATTAAGTGGGTCTATTTTCCATGTATTAACAATGTGGGACAACTCACAAGTGATATTCTAACACGCCCCCTCACTTGTGAGTCTGATATCATGTCTCTAACCCAGGCACAAAGTGGACTCTGATATCATGTCTCTAACCCAGACACAAAGTCGGTCGGACTCTGATATCATGTCTCTAACTCAGACACAAAGTGGGCTCTGATACCATGAAAAAAACTGGGGAGAACATGGAAAGCCCATATGAAGCCCAAGTGGGGTTCCATGTATTAACAATGTGGGACAACTCACAAGTGATATTCTAACAACCCTTTACATATATATTAGCAAACTAAATATCAAAAAGTATATATATACTATTAGGGAGATTCTACCGTCTCGTTACGGATTATTTTGTCGGACTTTGTAATCGTTAGATCAATATCCACGAGGGTTATATGATGATCTAACGATTACAAATCTCGATAGAATGATTCCCTAACGTGTAGCATTTCCCTATATCTCTCTTATATCTTATACAAAGAAGTTATATACCTTCAAATGGCGACACGTGTCCATTTTAATGCCCTTCTTATCGCGACACGCGTCCAATTCAAGTGTACAGGTTTGGCTATCTTTTTACATAGCTGCCATTGTTAATTTCAGTGCAGTTACTTCAATATCCTTTATTTCATCATCTTTGTATACAATATATGGGGTAGTTTGGTAATTCATCTTATTTGGATGTATAAAGTAGGATGACCAAATTGTCCTTACCTTTTTTCATTAAAAGTTTAAAACTCAACACTTGAAGGTTATTATCGTCAATTCAGTCTGACAACTTTTAATCTGCACGCAACCTTTTTCAATACGACAACTTTCTCTTCCACGCCTTTTGTAGTGATATGACTGCCATTAATTGCGGCTGACGTAGCGGAAAGTATGGCGGTGACTTATTTTTGAAGCAACAAAATTGGTCAAACGTTGTAATACGTTTTCTTCTCACATAAGACCCTAGACCAGATTTCTCCTTTTGTACAAAAAGTCTCTCTCTTCCCATCTGACCTTTCTCTTCTCAAACCCTACCACCATCTCCTCTCTTTCCATTTTAGGAATCCACCGCCGCACCGGTGGAAAACGAGTGTCGGAGCCCTCTCAAATGAGAGATAATATGCTCCCCAACTCTAGCTCTGCCCTACTCCTCTGCCGCCGCACCGCAAACCAACGACATTTTCCCATCCCAGATAGTGATACTGGCATGGAAGGATGAAGAGGAAGGATGAAAAGGAAGGTGATCTAATGGAACTCAAGCAGCGGAAGCCGAAGTCGTCGAGAAACCGCTCTCATGCCATCTCAGCTTCTGCATCAAGACCGACGAGTTCCTCCTTGATAACGTCGTTGCGTGCTATACCCCTGTCGGTCGACCGACGCCTTGTACAACGGCTTTGCGCATATGTCCCTGCCCATGGAATACAACCATCTCTAACGTCATCTCTGCTGGTATGGCCGTAATTTTCAGATTCATTATTTAGATCCTAAAGGTGAGCATAGTTTACTTGATTGTTTGATTCTCATGGGTTAGGCAAATTTGGTTCTTTTTTCATGCAATTTGTTCTTGGAATTACATATGTGAGGTCTACCGCCATGAATTTTGTTTGATTGCTGGAGCTTATTTCAAGAATGAATTCCATACTTACTCCTTCTTGAGAGTCTCTACTTACTGTGTTTCTTTTCTGCCGTTAATAAAAGAGAAACCCTGGACGGTGTACTAAGAAGTTTGAGACAAATTCAAAACCAAAGAAAGCCGATGAGGACGGGATCTAGAGATCGCATAAAATCCTAATCAAAATCCCTTTTACAAATGACAAAACCGCAGTCCACAGGGCATGAAAAGAGGGGAAATTTAACAACAACACTTACGAAGAAACCAAGATATGAAATGTGAGGCCTCGGAAGCCAAATGAGGCTTCATCGAGCGAGAACTGAAATTATAAGTTTGCTTGTTAGTTTATGGTGAAGGCTCAGTTGTTCACGAGCAGTTGTTGTTGTGACTAGGTTTTATGAGTAATGAAACTTCGGCGGTACGAGAGGATGGCCCCAACTGATCTGCTCAACTCCGAAGTAATGGTATGAAGGAATAATAAGGTCATAATTTTGTATTTTTCTATTATACTGTAGTTTTTTTATGTGTTGTTTATGCTTAAATAATTGTATTGCTATGTTTGAATGATGTAAAATTCAATACCATTTCTGTAGCACACTATTTTTACTTATCATATTCATTCTGGTAAAATTCATTCAGAAGAATTTATTCATCATTTTGTGATGCTGGAAGGCTTGCCTTAACCTCAAATGGAAGAAATAATGGAGTATGCCTAATATCCTGATTTTGTTAATGAGTCATAATATTATTTTGGTTACTCTTTATGATCTGGGCACTTTCATGAGTCTTATTCCTCATGGATTTGTGGTCATAACTCATAAATATTCACTTACTTTACTTGGTTGTTTGGTTATCTTTTGTGATTGTTTTGTGTTGAGCACTGTAAATTAAATATTAAAGGTTAGACTAGAATAAGAGAGAGCGTCCAATTTTCATCAGATTCTCCCTTTCATCACTGGATTGCCTATTGGGAGTGAATGTGCTCCTCATTTGTTGGATTGGTCAATTTTTTTTTTTCTCTGAGATATCTAAACGACGGTGTCTTATGTGCATTCATCCTTTTAACTTGATCAGGATTGTGAATCATTCTTATGGTGGAGTGTTGTCTGTTAGTGTGAGAGGATTATTAGGGCGTTGTTGGTAGAGGAATATAAGATAATGAGAAGGTATTGAAGATTCAAAAAGCAATGGAAAAACTTGCTGCCAAGAGCTGCTAAAATGTGAGTGGATACAATTATGGAATTGTATCAAAGTTTTTGGAGCATAATATCTGTATTTTTGTTGGGATTCTTCTTAATATAGCGAGCTATTCCCCGCCATAGACAGCTGAAAGAATAAAAGAGGAATCAATGGCAGCTCATTCCAAAACCCTAACAGATTTCTTACAGCGGCTGGCTGCGGCGAAGTATCTTAAGACCCGCTCTGCGGCTTCTGATGGCCCTCTTTCATCATCGTCAACAGCTGCTATTTCTCAACAGAGCCCTCGCCTTATCCAAGTGAGACCTCAAAATCTACTCTGATAAACTCTCCAAATCAGATTCTTCAGGTCTGTTGATGTTTTACTATTGAAATTTTTAATCAGTTAGGTCATCCAATGCCAAGCCTGATTATATTCTGATGCGTTTATTTCTTTCCATGAAATATTTTTTGTAACATTTCTTATTGTGTTTCTCCTACCAGAATAATAGCTATGTTAACATTGAACTTCTGACTAATAGTTAGTCTTTTCAAATCCATCAATGCATATTGTAACATTTTAACACCTGAGACTGTCGTTCTTGTGTGATATGGGTATCAAGGAGTGCCATCTTTAAATTTGGTGGAGGATACATGGTTGAAAGTGCTAGCAGTGGAGCTGCAAAAGCCTTACGCAAAAAAGCTCTGTACGTTTGTGGAAAACGAAATATACCAGGGCAGCGTACCAATTTACCCTCCTCAGCATTTTATTTTTAATGCATTTAACACGACTCTGTTTGACCGAGTTACGGCAGTAATTATCGGACAAGCATACATTGTGTTTGGATTGGAAATGGGTGTGCTCGTATTAGTGTAGAAAAGAAGCTTAAGGAAAAATATTTAAGAAAAGTAATCTAAGATACTGTATTGTTGTACATGGAACATTGGTTCTTCTTAAAAGATAATTAGTCAGTGCCAATCTCCAATTTTTTTTTAGTCCATGTATAATTTTTCTATATTATCATCAATGTAACTGCAACTACAACACATCACCTGATTTGGAGTTGCTGATGCATGTGTAAGAGAAAATGAAGAATCATATTGTGTGATCCTTGAGACTGATTTATTCATGACCAGGTAAGGAATGTGACCTAACAAATCTGTTAATTCTTTCGTGCTTG